GAATGTGCTTTTCAGATGTCATTCCTTGAAAGAGGAGGTTACCTGAATGTAACTTCAGCCAACTTTGCATGTACATTGCCCCATTTATTTGCATGCACTGTGCTGCGAACACAGAAATGTAAAATAGGTTAAAAATTTAATCTGATGAAAATGTTCTCGGTATAATTTTGAAAAAAACTTAATGGCTAAAAAGGCCTATTTGTAAGAAGCTTAAGAGGTTTAAAATTGCATCCTGTTTAAAAGAGCAGAAAAAGTTAACTTCCTACTTTAGTAATAAGAAAACATTATGTTTATCATATGCTGTTCTGGGAGCATTATGTTAAAATACTCATTACACCAACTTAAACTTTTACTATGTTACTCTGGCATTTCTTAGACTTTGGTGTGCACATGTGTATGTATGTTATAAATTGTTTAAAATTCTTACAATTAGTAAGCCAGGGTTTGTGATTTTGACTAATAAGATTATCGCCTGCCATAAAAAGAAAAAAAAAAAATCATTCAATTTGCAGATGTAATATTCTTTGTTGTGACGTAGTTGCATTTATATGATTTAATCTGTCATTGATAAAAAAAGGATTAATTTGCTGGTAGTTCAGAAGAGTACTGCAGTGCTACCTGGTACCATAGAATAAACCCTTCAAATTTTATTAAATACTGCTTTCTCTCTTTTTATTTTTTTTTTTTTTTTTTTTTTTTTTTTGCTTTTAGAGCATGTTTCTGTGTATCAGGCATAGGATATTTTATTTTTAATCACCTTTGCTAGAAAATTTGGATTGGTTAAACTGCCTCAAAACACAATCAAAGACATTTTAAGTTTTTTTAAATTTTATAAAAGAAAAATAAATTATAAACCATAAATTAGATTATATTGCCATTTGTACAAATCTTGGTATTTGTTATAAGTGACAAAGGAAGGAGGAAACAAATAGTTTTTCTTATCCACATATAGTGCATAACTAAAATAAACCTAATGAAAGCAGAAAAAAGTGTAAGAGGAAGTGGAGGCAGCCATACTAACTCAGCAGAATAGTTCAGATAAAGCACTTTTTAATAATTGTGTCTTCTATGCTGTTGTTGATAGCACTTGTTTTACCTTGAGTTCAACTAAAATAGAGGTTTGTTTTTAAAATAAATCAATAGAGCTATAGTAAAAGTGTGAGCAGGATACAACAGAAAAGTGTTTTGGCTCTAGAAACAAATTATTCAATAAAGGAAATGTTATATGCAGCTACTTATTTTATTTGTTGATATCATCACATCCTTCAAGGTTTTAACTCTGTTAGGTCTTGGCCTCTTAACTGTTTCACCCGTAAGAGAAGAAAATATTTTTATATTCTGAACCCAGTTCCTCCATTTTGAACATTAGCAGGAAATAAAATAAAAAAATAAAAAATTATCAACACTGTCAGAAAAGGCTAAAATTCAAAACCTGTTTTTTCATTTCAAGAGTCTTTCTTTCCAGTGGCTAAGCCAGTTGCTTTCCTCTTAGTGATCTGACATGCTTTCAGATGTTGGCAGTGAGCCTCTAATAGTTGGATATTATTTTAAAATTTAAGGTATTTTAACATATTATAGAGAGGTTTAATGTAGCATTTAATAGTAAATACATATTTTAAAGCAAAATCCTATTTATTAAAAAATGGTTAAAAATTCAGTTGTTAATGGAAGTAAAGTCTCTATATTTTATCCATTCCACATGACACTAAATGGATGTAAAGGATTTATCCTTTGTAATTCCAGTTCACTAGAGCAAATTGTAACATTATTGTTAGACCTGTACAAGGCTTCTTTGGGACAGATCTCTAGGAATTAAGGGAGAGGGATTGGCTGCTTAAGATCAGTCTATTTTTAGTAGATGGAATCTAATTATCTGACCAGGAAACTTGTCGGCTAAGATAGGAGTAGGTTTATTGTCAGTATTTAAGTGAGATACTTATTTTGATCTTAGTGATGCCTCCTTTTTATATTAGAATGGGGCAGTATCTTTAATTAAAAAATGTATTTTAAGCCTGTGCGAAACCCTGCTTGTCTCAGGCACATTGCAGTATGCGATTGGAGTATACTGCGTTTGAGTAACTACAGCTGGTGTCAAGTGCAGGTTACAAGAATTTTAAACATTATGCTTAATATAAAGTGTTTCACTTCTTGTCATATAAAATGTTGACCCTTGCCTAGTTCGTTGGTGATATTGTATGCAAATAAAACATAGTATTGAAATAAAAGTCTTTAAAATATGCTTTGCAGAGAAATTTATTCTACTTTTACTTACAGATGTTTGTAGGTGGTAAAATAAGGATTTAATGTTTCTTTTATGGTTAATTATAGATTGCTCACAAGCTATATGTTATCTTATGGTGCTTAAAGGAGAAGGGACACACCCAGGAAGGAAGAAATAAACCAATGGTGTCCATGGCTACCATTTAACAATACAAATGTTTATTTTTTTATAACATTTTATACTTCTGTATTTATTTTTCTTTCTAGCCAGATCCATGGGGAGGAGAAAAAATGTGTCTTTGTAGATTTACTCCTTGTCAATTTTTTGGCAAGTGCTTCGGTTTCTTCTACTAGTTTCTGGTAACTTTCAAGGGTCTGCAGCTTCTAAAATAGTATGTGTTCAGTCAGAACTTGCAAAATGAAATGAAAGCTCCTTCTCTTTTCAGTTTAGGTCATATACAGTATTACCCATTGGAGCTGTTTATTATCACACTCTCAAGGAAAATACCAGATCAAAACTATTCTCTTACATCTGAAGGACATGTGAAAAACGGAGTCCTACAAAAGTAAATGTTGCCAGGCTTGCTTCTTTCTGTTCACAATACCAAAGAGTTAGAATGAGTTAGGCTTTTGAGATGTCCAATGG